AAGCTCCTTTTCTGTTTTCAATGCAGTTGCTTCAACCCTGCCTGCTAAACATAGAGAGAGAAGCTACCAGGATGTACTAAGGCTGTGTTACCATGATGTTCTTAATGGTTTCTGGGATGCTCTCATTTGCTCAGAATGTGAGCTATAAAAACATGAAAAATCATAGATAATTTTAGGATAGAAAATATATGCAAATATGTGGCAATGCAAGACCAGAAATAAGGATACCAACAAATGTTAATAATCCTGGCTTTGCCAAAGTACTTTGTACAAACTAGATCATTCCAATTATTATAACATAAAAATTCAAAACAAAAAAAAAATAAATTTAGAATATGAAATAAAACACTAAAGCATAGATTCATATGCCAAATACGTTTCAAACAAAGACCATACTGCATTAATGTACTTTGACAGTCAGAATTTAGTATATAAAATGTGCATGGCACATAACTGTAATGATCTTGGAAGGCAGAGGAAGAAACTTCGAATACTTTGTCAAACTAGCTTCCATGGTAAGTATCAACGTAGCCTTGCTACAGGACATCTTGACTCTGCTGCTACTCCCGCAAAAACACACACACACAATAAATACATACAAACTTAAGTCAGAATTTAGATAGTATAGTCAAATATGTATTTATTTTATTTGTATGATATAACATACTTAGAATAATTTACATATATCCCACTATCCTTTAGTATGTATGGAGGATAAAATAATGGTTTTTGGTAATTGCATGAATAAATTGTAGGAAACTATTATATATATAATAATGTTTATAGTTATTATATATAATAATATATATAATAGTATAATGTTTTATATTAGTTTAATAAATTTAGCGTGTTCTGTAATATTTTCAAAGAAGACACTCATAAGGTACTGATAAATAGATTTTAAATAAATACCTTTATTTAAGAATTCGTGTTGACAGACTCAGCCAGATGACTCAGCCATTGAAGTTGCCTGCTGTGAAGCCGGACCACTTGAACTTCATCCTCAGCCCCAGATGGTGGAAGGAGAGAACTGACTCCTCTAAGTTGTAGTCTGACCTCCTCACAAACCCTATTGCACATGAGCCCCACACACATGCAAACAAGCATACACACACAGACACATAAACGAACATATATATCTACATACAAACAAATAATGTGACTTTAAGTTTATCTCAACTATTAACTAGTGTTACTTCTAAGATTATGGTAAACAAAACAGGCTTTACACTGTTTTTAGTTTTGTATTATTTGGGCTTTCCTATATTACATAATTTTATTATATACAGATACACTCTTTGTCAATCTAGTCTGCATAGAATGATAACTTATTTTTACGAACTTTCATTTCTTTACAGATATTTTTAAAGATAATTTTTCATGCTTTATTTTTAATTTTTCAATCTATCTTTTTATTGTGTTGCATTTTGTTCATCTCCATGTATTACATTTTTTGTTTTATAATTAATTTAATTTTACATATCAGCCATGGATTCCCCTGTCCTACCTCATCCCACCCCCCAGCCTTTCCCCCTAATCGTCACCCCATTCCCAACTCTGCCAAGGCAAGTTCTCCCCTGGGGATTCAGATGTGCCTGGTAGATTCAGTTGAGGCAGGTCCAGTCCCCTCTTCCCTACACCAAGGCAGAACAAAATGTCTCAGCTTAGGTCCTAGGTTCCAGAAAGCCAGCTCATGCACTAAGGACACCTTTTTATTATTTATTCTAGAGAAAAATACATTGTCGATTTCCTGTGGTGGAAATGCCTCTCCCATACTGGGATTTTGACAAACTATTCTTTTGTCATACATGGGAGGAACTGAGAACATGTTATAATCCCTGACTTCAAGCTTGCCACTCTTACATTCATGACTATTATATCTTGGCTTTTGGAAATTTTCATCTTAGTTATATGTTTATGTTAATACCCTTTCAAAATTTATTTGTACTTAGGGATATACATTTATCTCCCTCAAAATACATTTTAAGGTTCAGTGTGAAACTGGTCAATGTTAACATAATTATTAATTTAACACTGTAATGCATATCAGCATTAACACGTTTATTTCTCTGTTATGAGGACCCTGAGTAGAATGAAAATCTTGCCTTGATGAAATGGTCCCCCTCAGTTGATCTTCCTTACCTTCATTATTTTGGAGATTTTTTGCAGGGTCCTCAGTCACCCTATATTTACTTCCGTTTCTCTTTGGCTGTCTCCCTGACCATGCCACAGTACCTAGTTTTAATATGATAAAGAAGCTTTGATGAATCATACACCTAGTCTCTTTTACTGTGTATTTCCTCTGAAAGTCCAAGTAACCTTTGTGTTTATGAAACTTAGAATCAAATTTCAGATTTGATGAGAAGTTTGCAGAGGTTGTATTTAATTATATTGAATCCACACATCGATCTGCAAAGAACAGTCTTGCTTATGTTATTCTGTCTCCTTAACCACAGACAGAATAGAGATCTTAATTGTGTTAGCTCTTCTGTAATAAAATTCAATAAAACCTCCTGGATATAGATTGCCCGCATACTTTATTAGATTTATCCTTTAGTTCCTTTATCTTTGGTTAATTAGGCTTGTTAGTTTTCATAATTAAGAACATTTTATGCTGAATATTTGTTAGTTTTGTCATTAGAATGCATGGGGGTTGTGCTTTATTTCTCATTTTCCATTTCTATGTTCAGTGGTTATATGTGTTCTTTAATTAGTTTGCTATATTGATAACTTCTATTTATTTACAATTGTTATCTTTGTTCTGGTTACTATTTTATCAACTTGAAACAAGCTGCAATTATCTCAGAAGAGATACCTCAACCAAGAAAAATTCTTCCAACAAATTGATGTGGAGGCAAATCTGTACAACTTTTTTTTTTTTTAAATTGATTGATTTAGAAGGCACCAGCCAACTCTGACAGTGCCACCTCTGGGCAGGTGTTCCTGGTTGTATATGAAAGCAGGTTGAGCACACATGGGGAGTAGGCCAGAAAGCAGCAATCCTCCACGGCCTCTGCTTCAGTCCCTGCTTTTCTTCATTGCCCTGAATCCCTTTGATGTTGAACTGTGATGTGGAAGTGTAAGCCAAATAAACTCCCTCTTCCACAAGGTGTTTCTGGTCATATGTTTATTACAGCAATAGAAAACTAACTAAGACACTCTCTCTTCCCTCTTGACTTCTCTGTCTACACAGCTGTCAAGTATGTATATGTGTGCATGTATGTATATATGTATGTTTACCCATGTGTGTACATATATATGTGTATGTATGTATTATGTATGTATGTTTGTATGTGTGAGTATATATTTATATACACCACAGCAGAGTTCTCTTCAGTAAGTTAGAGGAGTGGTTTAACTATTATTTTATTTAGTCTATAGATATGTAATGTCTGTCATTAGGAAGATTGTGTTGTATTAGTATCAAAGTATTTTAAATGATAAAACATAAGATGAAACACTTTTTGTTTTGTTTTGCTTTGTTTGATTTGGTTTGGTTTATCAAGACAGGGTTTCTCTTTATAGCCTTGGCTATCCTAGAACTCACTGTGTAGACCAGGTTGGCCTCAGACTCACAGAGATCTACCTGCCTCTGCCTCCCAAGTGCAGGGATTAAAGGTGTCCACCATTATGCCTGGAACACATTTCTCATGGACAATATTTTCTAGAGCAAATTACACATGTGTGAATTTACTTATTTTATTAACTATCAATGATAACACTAAATATTTTCTCTTTTTAAAAATTTCCCTAAAATATATTTGGTTTATAATGTAGTTTTATATAAATTATTCATTTCCTTTTTGATATACCCCACCCTTATCTTGTGAGCTGCATGTAGCCATAGATACTTATAAGTACAACCGAAAACACCATTGTAAATTTACTGAATACTTAATATACACTTTTTGCAATTACTTTTGCAGCATGGCATTGATTTTCTTGAACACGGACTTTGTAGATGAAATAATCATGTATCAATGTGAAAAGTTTGAACACTGGACTTTGAGATTCACCTTTTTAATTTTTTGTTATAATTACTAGTGTCTTCTTCATAAGCATTTAAATTGTTCTTTTGTAGAATATGTTAATTTTTCCTTTTCATGGGTGTATTAACCGATTTCCAAAGTTTATACTCTCTTGCCAGTCAGCATTTAATGTATGGTTTTCTTGTTACCCATCTCATAAGGACATAGCAACAATTAGAAAGAAAATGAAAAATAAAGATAGATCGAAACCAACACAGCTAAAGACAGTGGGCAGTTCAGTTTTTCTGCAAGGATTTCTAAATTTTTAGCTTTGAAACACAGTAGGAAAAAAAATATTTTTTCCCTTATCCTGAATCCTAGAGTTAATAAATTTTCTGGAAAATGCAAAGACTAAGTTTAAGACATATTTTATAATATAGAATATAATATTTTCAAATATGTTTGTTATGTCTCAATTTCTTGTTAATTTTTTATTAAAATTGAAAATTCTTATTACAAACTACACAGAGTTCCCTATAAGAATGTGAGCATATGTGTTATAAAAACCTCAACTACTGCTTTCTCTGAGTTTACTCACAATTTAGACCTTGAATGTTCTACACACTGTATGTTTTTTGTTTTGCTTTGCTTTTTAGTTGCTTCTGTGCTCTTTTTGGGGTACTGCTAAAACCAATTGTCATCTCTTAGGCTCTGACAGCTTGCCATGAGTTCTGACAACTTTCTCCCACTCCAGCTCCTGAATAATATGTAATTTCCTTGATAGGAAAAAAACAAAACAAAACAAAAACCCATCATTTTAGTATTCATGTCAAGCCGTGGTGTTCATTTTTCATTCTTTTCTGTAAGCTAATGAGTTCTAGCAGAGACAGGCTTCATATAGTTGTCTTTTGCCAAAAGTCCCACTAAAGCATACCGAGCTAGAGGCAAGCCACAGCATTAAGGAGATTTGCTGTAAGCCAAGCCTCTACAGTGTGCATTGAAATACTAAATACATCCCTGTGTGTTTTGCAGACAATCCTGATTTACTGAGCCATGTCTCCGTGGGCATTAGAGTTCTGGATGTCAATGACAATCCACCTGAACTTGCCAGGGAATATGATATTGTTGTCTGTGAGAATTCTAAGCCTGGTCAGGTAAGTTAATTCTTTTCTTCCTACCACCTGAATAGAAGAAGAATAAGCAGCTTTATTTCTATTATTCCTAGGTATTATCCCCCAAATCCCTCAGTGTCATTTTTATGCTCAGTGACGATAGTTTTATAAGGTTTTAAGTACAAATAAATTTTTGAGCATTGTAGGAAATGAATTTTATACTGCATTACAATGTAATTCAGAACATGAACTCATTTAGGTATGATCCATCCATCATGTCAATTAAATTGCATTGAGTAGTCTATGTACAGCCCTGCATTCAATGAGGAGCAGTGTTCTCTCATGGTCTGATGAAGCCTAGCGACTGTGTCTAGGGAGGAGAGTCTGGAACAATTCACTTTTAGAACAAAACACATGATGGTGAAATGTTGGTTATGAAAGGTGTGTGTGTGTGTGTGTGTGTGTGTGTGTGTGTGTGTGTGTGTGTAAACATTTGAGTTTGTATATACTATGAAGAGCCCCTATGCATTATGGTATGGGGAAAGTAAAGAACAATAGACAGGGAAGGAGACTCGATGCACTGTGCCACCCATTAGAAGAGGAATGTGCATTAATATTATGTTCTGTATGACAAAATACATAAAACCCACGGTCAAAATAAAACTGCTTGTATTATTGCACTTGCTGTGACTCACCCTCACTAATGCATGGCTACCCTGGGTCTACCCTAAGGCTCTCACAAGACTCTCATCACAGTGGCATTCTTGTTTTCAGTCAATTCTTGGGATTCTATAGATTATCTCCAAATTGTTTGCAGGTTCACTTTCACATTAGCAATCCATCAAAGAGTTCTAGGTGTTTTCTTAACCACTAATGAGCCCCACAGTTGGGAGACAGCATACCTAGTTTCTTGCCACATGGATTTCCTCTACAAAGCCAGTTGCTTACTTTGTCTGCTGCATAAAGTGAGTTCCTCTTGCACATAGCAAAACAGCTGTTTTCCACACTGTAATCATCTGAGTGGTAAATCAGTTCTATTGGCAGATTGGTTGGCACTTAAGGAAAAGGGATTAGAGAAGGATGTGCATTCTTACAGTCCACCTTAAAAATTGTCAGCTACAGGTAAGTCCAGTAAGGGAGAAAGTATCAAAGTCCTGCATTAAACAACTTTGAGCCTATGTGGGTTCATTAGAAGCAGTACACCCTCAAAATTACTTAAAAATTTATGAATCTCATGATGAAATAGTATTTATTTTTATATAGATATATAAAAATAATCAATAGAAGCGTCTTAGCATGTAAACTGGTTACTCATTTTAATACTGACAGATCGATATATATGTATATGTTTAGTCTAAACTGGGTGATTTTTAGAAACGCAGGAGTATAGAGGAGCCAGAAAACATATTATTGTTTGCTGGAGGTTAAAGGACAGGGAATAAGGATGGAGATGTGACACCCCCCCAAAAAATATGATAGTATGATGTAATATTATTAAGATGATATGGGTGTTCCTGGTCATGTCCTCATCAATTTCAAAACATACATGGTGACACCATTGCATAATATCTCATTTCTACGGGAAATAGAAAAGATTGCATGAAATATTTATGTGTAATTTTATACAACTACCTATCCTTCTCCTGATATTAAGTATGAAATTTAAAATAAACACATAATACAAAGAAAGCAAGAATAATACTATGAGCTGATGCTTCATGAGAAAAGATAAAAACAAAAATAAAAACTAACTTAAAATTGACAACATCATGGAGACAGCCATTAATTATAGTTTCCTTACATGTTCCTCAGTAATAAATCCAAGAAAAACCCATAAATGAAAATAGTTCTTACTACAAGAACAAAGCACAAACTTCATAGAAATAAGATAAAAAAATAATCATATTACTCTAAAAAATGAGGTAATCCATGTACATATAAACAGAACTAGGCTATTAGTGGTAGGATAATGTTGAGTCTTTCCTTGTTTCAGTATGTACAGAGTGCTGTGACCTAAAGAAATTCCAATAGAAATAAGTTAATAATTTGTTACATAACAGATACTATTATCATATCTTAAAAGAAAGATGGAAAAATTCTAGAAAATTTTCAATACATACATATGTATATAGATATACACATGTATATGCAATCAGAAAAATAATCTTTATCAAATCAAATGATCTACAGAGGCAGATTTCATTATCATGATAAAGTTTGTACACAAAGTAGCATTCAGTGTTGCATTTAGATATACATTGTTTTAAAATGAAGAAGAAATAGATGCAAAACCATAAACAGATAGCAGCTGGGTAGTCTGAGGATTCATCTCAGTAATAGATATTATATTCACATACCATTTTGACAATGATATTGCAAACTAGATATCATGATTGTCAAGCTTTATGTAATGGGATATATGCTACTCTCATATCCTTTTGATACATATTTTCAACTTTTTACAAAATGTATATCAAATTTTTAATATTAGCTAGACTACAAAGTTTTAAATATTAGAAAAATATATTTCTCGGCATTCTACTCATGCTATATTATATGTTGAAAGTTAAAAATATTACCCAAATATTATCCTCTGAAATATATAGCTAAATGTTCTAACTTTTATAAGAATAAAATAGAAAATTATTAAGAATATTTAATAAGGATGATGGTGCACATATACCATATCAAATAAAAATCAAAGAAATTATTCCATAGTTATTGGCAAAATTTTAATTCAAATTCATACTATGGAAAGAAAATAAAACAATGCAAAGTAAATGAAGCATTTATTCTTGATACTACAATAGCTTAAGCTATGTGACATAGAATCAGATTATTTATGAACACTAATAAATGAAATGGAGCTAGACCATCTCTCTCAAAAAAAATATTAAAGAGCTCATAGAAATAGAAGATCATGGCAAGAAAACTACAAGAAAGAAAGTAAACTACAGTATCACAAATAGTATAAGAGAACTAATTAATAGTCTCTGTGTGAATGGAATGCTAGTAAAAAAATTAACATTATATAAGACTTTAAAATTTAGAATTGATGCATTTACTTCTTTTTTTAAAAATTTTAGATAGTTTAGAAATACTGCCTACTTTTTTTAACTAAATGGATTGTATATAAAAAGGATATCTCCACAATACTGTTATCAAAGAGAATGACAGCAAAGACTAGAAAAAATATTACAGCAGTTACTCATCTTACAATAACATTAGTAGACAGCTTTTGGTATTAATGTTCATTGTTCTACATAGAGCTGATCTCCATTCTGAAAACAGATTAAGGTGTCACAAATGGTGTATTGATAAACCAAATAAAGGAAAAACAATATACTAAAATGGAAAAAAAATAATCAGGTCAGGTAGGTAAATACAAAGAATTTAATAAAGCTCATTTAATAAAAGTCATTTTTTTTTCTGAGTGAAAGCCCAAATTTTACTTGTATATAGAAAATTTAAACAACTTTATACATTTGGGAAGCACAGCACCAATACAAGGCTTTACTTATGGTTCATTATGATATAATTAGAACAGCAAGACTAAAAATTATAATATTTAGTATCACATGAAAAATTAAGACACCCAGAAATAAATGGATCTTTATTATCATCTATTATTCCTTACAAATTTCAATCTCTAAAGCTTAGATCTGTATCCCAATGAAAATTTTATTTTGTTTATCTGAATTTACTCAGTTATAAAAAAGAATATACTAAAAGTTTCAATTTCTTTATATTGAGGCATACATGAACATACCAAAATTTTAAGACCTTTATAATTGAATGTTTATATTATATATAATTAACTATGTATTTATATCTGATTTACCTATATTTATATAAGCATTTATATATTACATTATTATACTATTATAGTTATTTTTTTTTTTTTACTTTTGAAACAGGGTCTCACTGTGTAGCAGTGTGTGTGACCTGAAGCCTGCTGTATAGACCACACAGGCCTGGAACTCAGAGAGATCCTCCTGTCACTACCTCCAAAGGCTGGCAGGAGAAAAAAGGCCATGTGCCACTACAGTGAGCACCTATGAAAATTTATATATTTTAATTATATATATAAATACCTTCTGAGGTTGTGAAACCATTTCAATGTTCAGAAATATCGTATGTTCCCTTTTGGTAGTATAGCACATACATGCTAGCTCATGGCCAAACACTTGAAGTAGGAAGAAATGATGCTCAGAAATAATCAGTGTGTCAGTTCATGTGGTTCATATGTGAACTGATTTTGGCTGGATTTCAGACCCAGACTTTCTTGGCTGCTCCCTACTGGTGCATGTGGCAGTTCACTTCGTCAGTACCTTTGAGACATCTCTCCTCTCACCACACTGCTAGCCTGCTGGATTTTGATCATCATGGTGTTCTCTTGCATTTTATTTTTTTAAGCTTCTTGACATGATTTCATAAGGTCATGTGTATATGAGTATGAAATATGGTTTAGTCATCCCCCACATGCTGCTACCAACCCACTTCTTGCCCTTGTTTCCATTAGTTCCCATGGGAACCCTAGGTAGCTTCTAGTTGATTGGTAACGCTATGTATTTACTTCTCTATACCAATTAAGAACCAAGAGCTCACATGGAGCTGAGGGATGGAGTGATATGATCAAAATAAAGTTCTCAAGGAACTAATCAAACTACCCTAAAAGAAATGTTTAGTAATCTAGTACTCAAAATGAGAAGACACATGTAATATCTGTCCTTTGAATCAGACTTAATCATCGTTTTCCTGGGAAAAACAGTGGATTTTTTTTTTTTTGATGTTTGGCATGTTTCCAACTCTGGTATCAAAGTGAACTTAACTTTCAGATTAAAAAAAGTATCTTTAAGTATAATTTTCACAATATTTAAGCGAGTCATCACTAATACTTTTGAACTCTGTGATTTGCCCCTAACAGATAAACCTTTCTGGACATTTCAGTTTTTTCATGTTGCATTCTGGATGGAATGATAGCATTTTCGACAGCATTTAATGAATGTTGTCCCAGAATTGAAATATGATAGTATTTAAACTTTGAGTTCTGTAACAATTTTGCTGGAGTCTATTTATGTTTTCCTTGTAGGGGAATAACACAGAGTCTGCAACAGTTGTTTATAAGGTTGATGATCCTCTTGTTAGGGTGTTGAGCACCAAAATGTATTGGGATGTTGCTATGGTAGAAACATTCACTTTGTAAAGTTCTAAACTTGCACAATATCAAGATCAGGTCAAATTAAACACCAATATAAATAGCAACAATGCAGTACTACACATTTAACCACATCAAACAGAAAGTCAGGGATGCATAAAATTTGTAGTCAATTCCCAAACCACAGTGAATCCAAAAGCATGTATATGCCTAAACTGGAAACTTCTTTTGTTAATATCAAATATGCTGTGGCCTTTTTACTTTATATTAGAGAATAAGCTCAGGGTTAGTTAACATTAAAAGTCATTTCTTGACTAAGAATATAGGTCTGTTGGGCAAGTGCTTGTCTAGCACCAAGAAGCTTTGAGTTCTATTGCTAGCTCAGGAATTAATTAGGTGTGATGTCCCATGCATGTAATCCCAGCGTGAAGGAGGTGGAGGCAGGAGGATCTGAAGTCCCCATTCCTCCATCCTACATAAAAATATAAAAGCCCAGGATAGCCTAACCTATATCAGAACATACATGAAAATGAAAAAAATATTACTTACATAGCCTCTGTCATATCACAGACATCTTATTAATTATGTAACTTCATATGAAAATATAACATGTTTTATTACAGATTTATAGTCTATCATGATTCAATCCACCTAACCTACAAAGGTTCATATTGCTATAAAATGAGATTTGGTGATCTCATATAGGATTTGATATTGATAAACAATCAAAATCATTGATTAACTTGAACAACATATTAAGTGTTTCTTAGGGCTCCATATTGAGTGTGAGGGCTGAGTGGTAGTGCACTTCACAAAACTGTAGGAAGCAAGCAGTATACCTCTCTAGTAGACTGCTTGTTTATTACACCAGGGGCCAGACTCAAGGTACTGTCTCAGTGCTGTATATATGGAAAAATAAAAATGAAGCAACCAAAGAAAAATATAAAAGTGTCTTTTCAAGGAGAAAATTTATATTAATTTAAACATAGGATATTGAGTTTTTTCCTAATAACGTACCCTCATATCAATACACAGTAGTCAATATATTTTAAAAACAGTGACATTTGTTTTCAGATATTGTCAAAATTTTCTTAGTATCTATTTGCTTGCAGTTAGTGACTATCAAGTGCATTCCACTTTCAAAAGGTAAACCAGCTCTATGGCTTTCTGTCTTTCACATCTTAAAAAATTATCAAATATGTCATGCATTAATCCAAGCTTGGCTTCTTGACTGAGAACATTTGTGTGAATCCAGGAAAACATGAGAATCAAAACCAAGCTGTGAGAGATTGCACCTTGCCCTGCAATCACAGAAATAGAAAGCCCTCAAAACTGTGAATAAAATACAAACCCTGAAAATATTGCTTACGGAGAACTGTCAATTGTCTAGCTATGTGCTAGATTTTAAAATGATATAAAATACCCAACATGGATTACTCATATATTTTAATAAAGGAATGATGGAATAATAATTACATAGTAGAATGGATAAAAAGAAGTCGTAAGTACAAAGGAGAGGAAAGGAAACTACAAAATTAAGTGAATAAAAATGTAAATATGCTTGCCCTTGACTATCAATATTGCAAAATTATCAGGTGCTCAGGACATTTGAAGCACATTGTAATATTGTTTGGACTGTGGATGAGACTGGAGGTTGTTTCAAGCAAACACATGCCATTAATGAGCTCTTTGTTGAGTTCAAATATAAAATTATTTGCGTAAAAATGGAAAGGATATTATAGAAAAAATTCAAAAATAGAGAACACAATGCAAGATTAATTACCCCAGAATTACCACAAAGGAGCTCATGACTCTAGGATTTAGAATATATTCAAATTATTTATAAGTTTATTATCAAATGACTAGTAAAGAAAATGATACTCCCTGTAAACACAAAATAAAATACTCAGTTTGTCTAGATAAATTGTTCTTTGCCTATCCTTCCAAAATTCTACTCTTAGTTAACAACTGAATTGGCAAATAGATTATAATGTTAAAAAATATTTCAGGGAAAGTAGTATTAAAAACTAAAGAATCATAATGAATGAACATCATGAGTATAAGATTAGTTTTGAAACATTATAAAAGAAATATATATTTTGTATGTTGTCAATATGTGTACAATAAATGCATGAGTGTGTGAGAGTGCATGCGTGTATTTCAGTGTGCATGTGCATGCCTGTGAGTGAGTTGGGCACTAAGACATAAGGTGTGATGTTTGAGTGTATTTAACCCTGAAAACAAATTTTAAAATAAAACATGATTTTCACTTAGATTATATTAAGAACCGATGTATAGAGAATGCAAATACATTCCTCAGTTGGCACAACATTTTGAACTCTATTTGAAGCTTTCTGTGTGGTTGAGATTGCTTTTGATTCTTCATCAGCGCATTTGTCTATTTGGAATCAAAAGTCAAACTGGAAAAAGCAATCTATGTGGAGAAGGAGTTGTACTTAACATGGAAGAGGAAAAACAACAGGAAGAACTTTCATCTCTAAAGTAAATCCTCTAGAGTGAAATAAATTACAAAAGCACCATAGGGATTTCTCTCTCTACAAATCAGGATGGAGGCTGAGGAATTCTTTTCCACAGAGATTGCAGAGGTTGATGACTGATGGCAGGGGTGTGCGGGGAGACCTGAGAATGCATGGAAGACATCTACCACTTCCAGAGTATAAATACTTCCCGCATCTCATGACACAAAGGCGGGCGTTTGTTATTGCCTTGGTTCTATTTTTTTTTTTTATTTTGTCCTAGTTATTTCATTTACCAACCAATATTTTCAGTACAAAAAGAGGGATTTAGATTTTTTTGTGCTGTGTTATTTTTGTGTTTTCATACTCTAAATCATCAATAGAAGCTATTTTAGTGTTTTCTTCAATTGAAAACAATAAGTTGATAATCTGAATATTTAGGACAATAATTCCTAAAAGAGGAAACATCACACATTTTCACTTGTTTGGGTACATATTTTTAGGGTAGTGTTTGTCAAGGTAATTAGAATTTGTATTCTCTCTTTTGCCGGAGCCACCATAAAGGTCAGATTTCATCAGTGACTCACTGAAAGTTCTGTGGTCACTTACACCACTGTTCTGGTGTACGGGCATATCACAGTTCATGGGACTCAATTTTCTCTCATATGAAATTTAGGGCCTGCACTGTCATTCCTTGCTTCTCTTGAATTGTTAAGGAGGGGGCTGTGTTGTTCCTACATTTTTGGACAGAGACCAACCTATATAGCAACACTCTGCTACCACGACACTGGAATGTTATATTTATGCAAAAATGCTTCCTATTTAAAAAAAAAAAAGTGCTTCACCGAAATTTTATAACCACTTAGCCCTAAGGAATTTTGAGTCATAATAATATAAGCCCTAGTGTATCATGGTACACAAAGGAAATAAATTCAAATTATTTGTATATCTTTATGTAAAATAAGAGTGTAGGTATTTATAAATTAAACTAAAACTCTTTTCCTAAAATCTTGGACGATAAGCCAGTTAATTGGTTTTTTGATGTGTTTAATTTTAAACACTTGAATTGGAAAATAGATCTTTAAAATTTGTTAATTACAGCAACTAAAATGACAGTATAATTAAATCTAAGGAATAAACAAATTAAAGTTACTGTTAGTGTCTCTCTTTTCTTTAGGTTATTCACACCATCACTGCCACTGATAAAGATGACTTTGCCAATGGACCAAGGTTTAATTTCTTCCTTGATGAACACCTACCTGTGAACCCAAACTTCACACTTAAGGATAATGAAGGTGAACATAGATATGTTTTGTTGATCTATGATTTTTCTATTTTGACTGGCAGGGTACAGGCATTATTAAATTTGTCTCATTCCTCTATAACCAGGAACAGCTTGCAAACTGACATTCAAACTCAATCTGATGTTAGTGTATTATGATCTGTGACTAGCTTGTATTTAAAACTGAACCATATGTACGGATAACATTCATTGAATTTACTCAGTATTTCTTTAAACAAGAAATGTACATGCAGTATGCTCTTAGGCAAATTGTAAGAGAAATCTTAGCTGATAAACGTGTTTATAATTGCTGCAGCAACTGCTAGAGGGCAAAATATATTTAATTTAGGAAAAGTGAAAAATATGTCCCAAAGAGAGCCACAAAATCAGATGCAACATTTGAAATCATGCTGCATTAGGAAAACTATGCAGAAGTGCTGTACACATTGCACTGTCTCTTGTTATGGTAAATGTATCCTAAAAGATGGACAGAAAATGTTCATAATTGTAGGAGATTGTGGTTTTAAAAAGTTTATAATATATATTTTTAAAATTAGTTTTATTTAATCATCTGCCTTATATGGAGAAAAGGAACACACCCAAGTTAGTAATTATGGGAAGTGTATTATTATTTAGATGCTCTGTCTAATTGTTCCCCCTGTTTTATTTGGGGGGATATTAAAAGGTAATTAGTATATGTAATTTTCTAATTAGCACCAACATCCCTCCAAATGTTTATGATGTTGATTTGAATATGCTATGGTCTAGGATTTACCATTTTGTATAGAATCCTGATGGGAGACAATAATATATCAGTCTTATAAGGAACAGGTATCTTTTCTCTGCATATGTTGGAGCAAACATAAAACACATAATTAACTCTGTGCAGAATTGAGACTTATGTACAGTACCACAATAAAATGTGTACATATTCTGTTTATTTAACTAAAATACATATTTATAGAAAATGGTGGAATGATATTATCAAAGTTTAACATTGATCTTTTCTTTTAATTCCCACGCAAATGAAGTAGTTCACTGAAATAAGTCTAATGATTTTTCTAGTGTAGATATAAAATCATCTAACATATTCATTGGGTATAGATTGGAAACTCTCCATGTCAGTTTCTATGATGTGTGAGTATGTTTTCAGAAGTACATCCAGAATCCACTTCCTGCTCTTTCCAATACCCCTGCCATTACTACCACTCCAATGGCAGCAAGACTAAGCACAGGGAGTGTTTGGCGAGCTTAGACATGATACATCTAGTTCTGTTGTAAAGAGTTATAGTCCACTGTTCCCCAGATTTAAATCAACGACAATGAAAGTTTAACATCAGAAAAGGAGATTGGTTCAATGATTTGAACAGGAAGTTGAATGAGTCTTGAATGCCTGAAGCTGGCAATGTACCAGAATGAGGAAAATGAAGTAGATTATATCTTTATGATGTCAACATCTATGAAAGGTGGAAAGTATATTAAGAATGGGCAGTAAAGATACATTGTAGTAATCCAAGTTTCATATGTTATGGAAACTAGGTGCTTCTATTTCTTGTCTTAAGAGAAAGATATAAAAACTAACAATTGAGACAATTAGTATTATAAGATTTATCAATAAGTGCTTTCATTTTTTTCATAAAAAATGGATTGTGAGATGGCCAAAGAATCATTTTTATTTATAATCATTATGTAATAACCTTAAGATTCTGGGATAGAATTATTTTTTTTTTGATCAGTGATACCAGGACATTCCTTTCAAAGTACTACCTCCTGCATAAGCTGTTTGTCTGAGAAGGCAATGTTCTCTGGATTCCTTCCTCTGTATTTTCCTCATGCACCTAGTCTGTTGCATATCATCCCTATGCATCCTATAATAACAGGAAAAACTATCGGAATGTATTCTGTTCAGTAGGACATACGTAAAATATCCCTTGGTCTTCATTCAGGAACACTGCGCTGTCTTTGAGTATTTATACATGATGTCATGTTAGTAGGTTAAAAGTTATGAATACAGAATGTCCCGCAATACTGGTTCCTCACTGAACTAAATCCTATAAGAAACTATATGGTTTAGAGAGACACTATAGTATTCCTTAGGCATAGATTAATTAATGAGAGATAACTAGGCTCCTTGTACCAGCTAAAAGGGTATTCCTTCATCTGAATTGTAGTAAGATTCCAATTTGTTATGAACTCCATTTTGAATAACATGATTTAAACGATACTCATGTTTTCTTCCTTCTTTGCATATTTTCTTATACATTTTATTCCTAGTTAATTTGTAATCTACTAATTTATTGGGGAATTGAAGAACTAAAATCATCAAAATGTTTCATTTATTTATTAAGAGTTATTCGGGTTTCCTTAGCTTTCATTACTCACTGTGACATATGCTAGGAATATACTGAAAGAAAATACCAGCATGGAGCTAATGATCTGCTGGGGAAGCAGGAGGTCTGTTAGAGAAAATGTGTTCCAAACACTCACTGCTTTGGTTTGTGACCATTTTTTAGTGATAGACATGAAAGACACTGATGCATCTTTTAATTTTTTGTGTATTTTCTTGAACATATCTGTCTTAAGAGTAATATTGGATATCAGCCTAATCTAATTACAGGAGCAGATTCCAATCTCGTTCATTGTTAATATGCTTTTTGTTTGTTTTCTTAATGATAATGGGACATATTCCCTCATGTGTCTAGTGACATATTTGTGAACAAATAGCCTGGAAACTATACCATTCTCTCTTGCAATTTTCTTTAACATTGTACTTGAGGATGGAAACTTGAAAAACAGTAAATTTTTGCTCTCACAATTCCAAATGTCACAAACCTAAAGATTCTTTGAAAGGTAGAGAAAACATTCTCTGCTTACAACCTGGAGTGTTTGCGTTGTATAAAATGGAAGACACTTTCTCCCACATGATAGAGGAACAAAGGAGAGAACCCACTGAAAAGAGCTTTTTGCAATATGGCATAAATCCACTCAAGCTGAACAAATCTATAAACTGCTGAGTAGGACCCAACTCCCAGCAATATTATATTGTTGGTTAAATTCCCAACCACACTGTGGAAAGGATTGAAAATTTCAAACTTCGACACTATAAGATGTTTTCATGTTAAGACACTATTCCTCCAAAAACCCATCCAAACATATTCAAATGAATCCAGTTAGAAGGTGAGCTGAGTAAATTCTGATCATCTCTGATTTTCTCTGTTCCTAGAACAGTAAATCTGGAGTATCTTCCAAAGAATTTGGTTGTGCTTGGCAGTGCTCCTACACCAAGACAGGCCCAAGGAGGTCTTTTTGGCCTTTCTCTGTTTTAGTGTAGGGCTTTAGCTCTGATAGACTTCTAAAAGTAACTTCCAACTAGATCTTCCTTGTTAGAAAAAGTCTTCAGGGAAACTCAGTCACACCCATTTGAGGTCTTTTCATTTCCAGGTTGAGTACCAACCCTGGAAACTTTAAAGAGCTCTCATTGTTGCTCTGTGCTCTGGTGTATAATCTTGAATCCGTAGTGGCTCCTAGCAGAAGAAACCAGAGGTAGAACAAGTCACTCCTTGCTGTTTGTCAAGTATCTCTCCACATTCTTCCTTTCTGGAACCTTAATCTGCCTAATTATCTTGCTGCTCTGATTCTCTCTCTCACTAAACAAACACTTGCTTCCCATATTCAGAGTTTCTTTTGTAATAAGTGGAGTAAAGTTTGGCCCAAGCCCTACTTTTTCTCCCTATTTTATTCTAAAAGCCCATGTTAATTTGGGAATAATTTCACTGAACAGATTTGATACTACCTCAGCTTGGAAAAGAAGGCATTGTTTAATGATTATCTGTCTTTACAAGTATGGATATGTTCCTAGTATGCTAAAATCTTTGAAATTTAGAAAATAATAGAGATCTCATCTATTTCCCCTTCCCAGGGCGATTCATGTGTCCCACTTTGGGTCCTTCTTGTTAGCTAGCTGTGGTGATATTTTATTTGTGCTCTAACAAATAAAACTTTTCTGGGGATCAGAGGGCAGAGCCAGTCACTAGATTAGATATAGAGCCCCGACATTGGCGGCACACATGTTTTTAATTCTATCACTCGAGAGACAGAGATCGCACTGGATCACTGTGAGTTAAAGGCCACACTGGAAACAGAGTCAGGTATAGTGGCACACACCCTTAATCCCAGCATTTGAGATGTCATGTCTTTGCTTGGGAAGGACACATGCCTTTAATCCCAGGAAGTGATGGCAGGAAGCAGAAAGGTATATAAGACATGGGGACCAGGAACTAGAGGCTTTTAAGAAGTTCAGCTTAGATCTTTTGGGTGAGGACTTAGAGGCTTTCAGTCTGAGAAAACAGGAACTTGCTCTTGAGACTCTCTGCAGGCTGAGGATTTCAGTCAGAGGATTCATGGAGTTGGTGAGGTACGAGCTGGTGACTGTAACTTGTTCTATTCCTCTGATCTTTCAGCTTTCACCTCATTATCAGGCTCCATGTTTTTTTATAATAAGACCTTTAGCAATTCATGTTACAGCTAGCTTCTCTGGAGCTGTTGGTTGTAGTCTGGTTATCTTTTGTTTTACATCTAGTATGCACTTATGAGTGAGTACATACCATGTTTGTTCTTCTGAGTCTGGGTTACCTCACTCAGGATGATATTTTCTATTTCTATCCATTTGCCTGAAAATTTCATAATGTCATTGGTTTTGCTTCTGAGTAGTACTCCATTGTGTAAATTTACCACATTCTCTTAATCCATTCTTCAGGTGAGGGGCATCTAGGTTGTTTCCAGGTTTTGGCTATTATGAATAATGCTACTATGAACATAGTTGAGCATGTGTCCTTGTGGTATGATTGAGCATTCCTTGTGTATATGCCTAAGAGTGGTATAGCTGGATCTTGAGGAAGACTGATTCCCAATTTTTCAGAGAAACCACCATACTGATTTCCAAAGTGGCTGTACCAGTTTTCACTCCCACCAACAGTGGAGGAGTGTTCCCCTTGCTCCACATCCTCTCCAAAG